ACATGGTGACTTTCTAGCCATTGTAGGGTTTATTCAACAGAGCACAAATAAAGTGGAACAGGGACAGGGATGAAGGCTATGTGCCAGTTCACCAATATGAACATCCCCTTACAAAACTGATCTTGCTCATGCTGATTATCTTCCAACAAAGACTAACACCAAGTCCCCAGAGCATAGCACATAATTCTTGCAGAAGTAATCTGATGATACCCTGATTATATTGGACCTCCTTTATGTGGAAGTAGCAGATTCACCATTATTATGCTTTGTCAGAAGAGATACACAATGTGAATACAGATTTCTCTTCCCTTCCTGCTCTGGCAGCACCAAATCTGTGGACCCACAGTACTGCACTCTTCATACCACTCTTCTGATAAATGAAGGCTCAGCTCAGGAAATTAACCAGACTTATCACAGGTCCAATCATCCAGAAGTGTCTGGAATAACTGAAACTGGGATGGCTTAGTGAAGACAGTTACAGCCCCAATTGGCACATTCATGTACACAGGCTCCAATATCATAATATGAAGCAAAGACCACACCTCCCATGAGGATCAGAATGCATGAGCAATGAGGTTCCTTAGAGTTGGGAGATGAGATGCTGTTTGGGATTTTTTCAGGCAAAAGGGCTAATAGGCACACACACAAAAATGCTTATTGATTGAGATAACTGACCTTGGTTGCCAAGGGGAACTGGATTGCTGCTGGTGTAGTGATACAGTGAGGACTGTGTTTGGATCCCAGGGGATTATCTGGGTCATCCCTTGATATGCTCATGTGCCATAGTTAGGAATAATGGAAAGTAAGAGCAAAAATTAAAAGTTGGATTCCAATTATTTTAGGAAAGACAATTTGAATTACTGCACTGGACAAGGAATTCCAGCAAGCTGAAGTTACTGGCTGAGGGCGAGAGAAAGAAATCAATAGCTATCAACTATGGCTTCATGGAAGACATCAGTAATAATTACAAAAAGAGGGACTGCAGTAAGTAGCTTTTCAAGTTTTCCCTTTGCTTATTATATGTAACTGCCTATTTATGTGTGTTATCTATAACATATGGGGTAAGTGAGAGGGGACCAGAAGAGACCACCAGGCTTGTGTAAAGGCAACATGACATGTAGGCAGACAGAGAGCAAAAAGGCCATCTGGAGGGAAGAAAGAGAAAAAAGTTCCTTATATAGGGATTGAAATAAGGCAGGGACTGTAGGTGGGAAGTAGGCAATGTCCTTGAAGTGTCCAGTGTAAATCTTTAGGTGTCTCCAGATGTCCTAAGATCTGCAAAACTCCTTGTCTTATCTCCTTTACCACATCCTGTGCTTGCTGATGACAGCTCAGGTGTGGTACTCAGCTGAGCTCCCTGCTGAGAGCAGCACCTCTACTGGCAGGCAGGCAGATTGGGGGCTGAGCTAAAATGTCTGATATTCAGACAGATAGTAAGGTAAGCTTAACAGCCTAGGTTGTATGGTAATAACAAACTTTGCTTATGGAGGGTTAACAACCTAAGTTTGCAGACCAAAATTAAAAAGGAAAGCCAACATTTTGGCGCTAGCCTTCCAAGGTCAATTAAGACTCAGGACATATGAGAACTTGTACTGTAACGTCATGTAACTTGGTACTGGCCCAAATTTTCTGATCAAGGAGATTATGGGGCCAAAGAGGAAAGTGATCGATGACGCAGAGTGTGCCTAAGGAGAGTCACATGGAGAGAAAACATTCTCTCAGGCTTTCAGAGAGAGCACATTGGCCAAGCAATGGCTGTGACTCATCCACATGGCTGACACTGACAAAGGTTCTACAATCTGAGGTACAGGATCTCAGGATAAATCCTGAGATTTCACTGACCATATCAGACCCAAAAGTTACAACTCTTGTTGCATAGGTCCTACTTTACCTTGGTCTTAACCATCCAGCAGAAAGGTATAAAAATGAAGTTTAAGAAGTAAAGCCATGCTGTTATGTTGAGCTGTAGGGGACTCAGGTGAACAATTTCTGACATTGCAAGTCAAGTGGAAGACCCAACACTGTTATGGACTACTACTCTTTTAGAATATTTTGCTGAGTTAACACACCTATAATATTCAAATAACAGAACTTAACCAAAAAAGGGGATACAGATGAATGTCCATTTTGTATGTGTATTCAAAATGGTTAGATTACATATATAGTTACATTCTCTTAATGAATAGAGGGATTTGTTGTAATAGTGTTTATAAATAGGCTATCATGTCTGCACCTTGTACAGCAATTAGCCACTAGGAAGAATGTATGCAATGTGTTAATTATTGAATCTGTCCTACCAATTTGGTTTGAAACTGTCTCAATAAAATTATGGAGAAAAAAAAAAGATTGGGAGTGAGGAAACCAGGTCTAATTTGAACCTGATGTTGTCTACTATCTTCTCTTTTCTAATATTGTTTTATATACAAGTTACTGGAAATAAACATTACTGCTGGGTCTATGCATTTCTTGATTTGGGGGAAAAGAATGAGCATTTTTTTAGTTCTATGAAAGGTGGCTGTATGCTGCTACATGGAAAGAGAGTTGTTTGAAATTTAAAAGTATGCAGAAGGATGCAGGTAGAAACAGTGGCCAAATGGTGCGCTATTGCTTCTTAAATCCAAATCCACCCTTGTCTTGCTTTGACTACTGGGACATTCTTCCCAGGCCAAATGAAACATATAAGCCTTTTCAGAGAGGTCAGTGAAAGAGTACAGACTCTTCTGTGTATTTGGGGGGCCATCTGCTGGACTGTGCTGCAGCCAGCAGGACGATTCTCTTGGCAGCACAAAGGGTAGCTTCCTGCACTGCATTTCTCTCATGAGGCTTCCAGAGTTAGTACTTCTCTCTGTGAGCCTGACACCTGTGGTCCCTGTGAGTTCTGTCAGCACAGCTCTTTAGAGCTCTCCAGCCGGATCCAGCTGGATCTCAGATAAGAGCAGTAGCTCTTTCAGATATTTTTTTCCTTGAGTCCTCTGCCTCAGTCAGTAAGGTAAAGTTGAGCTCTTTCTGCTACTTGGTATTAAGACTTATTCATCCATAAGAAGCCAGTTCTCTGTGGTAGTTAAGTAATTTTTTATACTAAGCTTTCTTTACTAAAGTTACTGTATGGCTTTATGTTCCTGACTGGACCATGGCTAACAGAAGCATGATGGCGATACTGTAGTTATACTGAAAACAAAAAAGGTATTTAGATAATGTATCAACCATTGTTAATCAGCTAGTTTTGTTTTGAAAATCAGTAACATATGTATTGTTGTATGTTGCCCTGTTTCTGTCTTTGTCTCTGATTTTTGCTTTTGCTTTTGTTTCTACTCTTTAAAATAAAATAAAACAAAAAGGGGTAGAGAGCTGGAGTGTGGCAAACTTGCTTAACATACTTGAGGTCCTGGGGTCCATCTCTAGCACATGCATGCACTAAGCTTTTGGAAATACATACTAAAATATGGGTGAAGTGTTGTGATATATGAGATTCAATTAATAAATAAAATATCGGGAAATACATGTATTAATATCTGTTGAGTCCAAGAAAGTGGAATATATTTCTTCATAATTTTGCCTATTTTTATATAGTTGCCAAATTCTTCATCACAAACATTCTGAAAACCTCCAAATATCCAAATATTCCTGCAATCATCTGTACCACAGCACAGCATGACCAATGGGAACCTTTGTGACAGTAATCTAGGGGGCAGTTAGTGTTGAGATAATCTGATGTCCCTCCTGTTTCCACAGCCAAATACTGAAGAAAGAGCACAAGCCTCAGACCAACTGGCCCTCTCACACAGCTCAAATGTCATTTATTCTTACCAAATTTTCCCACAGTAATAATAACAGTATTTAGCTTATGAGAAGTGTTTAGAGAAAACTAATATCAACTAAAATCCACTGGCTGGAAGCACTTTATTTTTAAAAGTTAAACTTTTACTAAATCCCAACATTTGTGTAATATATTAATGAAATGTTTCCATAAAATTACTGAACAATACTTTGTTCAATAACTAATATCCTGGGGGTTCTAGCTCAAGAATCCATACCTTTTTTCTTTGAGACAGGGTCTCAGTAGGCAGCCCAGGTTGGCCACAAATTAACAACTGTCATGCCTCAGGTTGAGTGCTGGCATTATGGGAGTTTGCAACCATGCCTGGCTTCATATCTAATTCTCACGCATTAAAGTCAGCATGGCTTTGAGACAATCTAGAATACACTGTGTTTTGAAATCCATAATGGGGCTGATTCTTAACTATAACTGGAAAAAAGTGACAGTAGTCCTAATTCCTCCAGTATCACTAAGGATGTGATGGTACACACCTGTAAAATCAGCTGCCCTGGAGTTTTAGCCTGGAGGAGGCAAGGAACAAAATCTCAATCTCCCCGAGCCATCAGAAGATATGGTCAAGTTGATGTCTTGATGTCAGACTTCCAGCTTTCAGAGCTGTGAGAATAAGCTTTTCTTAAGCCTGTAATTCTTGTTGCAGCAGCCTGGAAGACTCCCACAGCCAGGCAGAACAGGCTTTCTTGGGGGCTTATATCTGTGCCCACGTTTGGCTCCTCTAGCACCCAACCTGGACTATGCAAAACAAAAACCATTCTAGGAAGTCACTGCCCATGTCGTGCTCAGAGCCCAAGGGTTACAGAGAGTCACATCATCCCTACCTTTCAGAGTTTTATATTGGATTTGCTTATACATAATGCCCAAGGATTTAAAAGCACATCTATTTCATTTATTTAGAAGAAGTCCTGGGGCCGGGGAGATGGCTTAGTAGAATAAGCACTTGCTTGGCAAGTACCAAGGGCCTGAGTTCAATCCCTGGTTCCACCAAAAAAAAAAAAAAAAAAAAAAAAAAAAAAAAAAAAAAGGGAAAAAAAAAAAGAACTATAAGTCCTAACTTCTTCTGGGTTTCTATTTAAGGATCCCAAAGCATGCTTTCTTATATTCTATCTGATATAGGGGAAAGAAACTCCCAATCTGGTAGATATCTGGTACAACTTTGTGTTTTCTAAAATCCAAGAATAAATTCTAGGAAGAATGGAGGTTAAGAGCAAAACATATTTATTGGAGAAAAGCAAGCTTCTAAGCAACAGAAGGTGATCTGAGTTGGCTGCCAAGAAACTTGCCTTTTCTAGGGACTTTTATAGCATAAATCCATGAAGCCAGGCGAGTCCAAGGTGGGCAAAGTGGGAAATCACAATGTGGGCATGAGGTAGGACAAAACTATGGTCAACCAATAAGATTATCATTGCTCAGGTAAAATTGATTAAATTGGAGTCAAATAGGGAAGTAAGTCATGTAGCAGGTGGGCATGAATACAGAATAGGGGCTTTTCCCATAGGGCATTGGATTAGTGACTCTTCTTGGCTTTCTCAAGGTAATAGGGACCTAGAATATGAATCCATTATGTTTATCCTTAGGGAAGTATGGGGGTGCATTTATTCCAGTTTTTGTCTTGAGGTCTCCCTTACAGTTTGCTCCTTCAAGGGCCTAGCCCTATCTTACTGGCTATAATTCTACTCAGCAGCCTACAACAGATCCTTTGGAATAAAGGGACAACAGAGTTCTGTGGCCAAATGATATAAGAAAACAGTGGATTTATATAAATTAAGCCACGTTTTTATTTTAAGCCTTTCAGGTAGGTTACTAGTGTACAGCTAACCTTCCAAGAAGTAGTGAAAGCTGGCAGCATTCCAAAACTTACTTCACCAGGGACTTGCTTCATGCTATCTCCATGGAAGCCACTTTGTGAAACCCTTTACTCCAACTTTCTTCTCTAGGAATGTTATCTGTTTGTGATCATTTGTACTAGTTTCGTTTTCCTGCTTTGCCTATATGTTTTTAAAGTTCTGTGAATTATGGAAGTAGTGCTACTACACTGTTACAGATCTGATCACTATTCAATTTTACAAAATTGCCCATTTTGTTGAATTCTAAAGTTTTTTTTTCAATTCTGAGTTTAGAAGCCCTAACCATAGTTATAAAAATAGACTGTAGGAACTTGCATAAGTAACACTTGAGTTCTGTTTAAAAATATAGAAATTACTTGTAAAAACAGCCAGTAATACTGCTGGACAATATGAGAGGCAGGAACACCCATCCCACTGCAGGCACACAGAAGTGTTTGACTAGGCAGAAGTGGGCAGTAGCAGCAGGCTGGTGACTAACAGGCACTTTGCTTCTTCTCTTCTGTGTGAAAACTGACTCCTAGGTGATCCATTGCCCACTCTAGTGAGTCAGTCTAGCTGAATGGATGCAGACGGCAGAGAGCTTGGTATCACTGTACAACTCTGCTGAAAGAGGATTACTACCAATGTGGTAGGCAAAAATAAAATTTTAGTTGCAATTAAGTGAGAAGTGGAAGAAAGGATGTGGCCAGGCCAAACCTATGATTAAAACATCTGTTGAACAGAAGCTGAATCCAGATGAAACCCCAGCCATCAGATGAGTGAGGCAGACAGGTCAAGGCCTCTCTGGAGTTAAGGAGGGGACAGGCGAGGACAGGCTGGCACCAGCTGCCATCTCAGCTTATTTCTGAAATATTAAGGCAGACTTCTGTCCAGGGAAGTCCTCGTAGCAAGCCATATTGGAGGTCTTTATTCACAGCAGAGGAAGCAGCTATGGAGGCTCAGTTTCCCTGATCACTCGTGCCTGGCACTGACACACACACAGGCTATGATGGAGGCCTTCCAGTGTGCACACACAGAGTCAGAACCACCTGTAGAAGGCTGCACTCTGAGCCAGGGAGAAAGTCACAGCTGCAGGGAAGTGAGACCTTTATCCAGGTGCTGAAGAGCGCCAGGACACCGCTGTAGCAGGAGCCATCATGGGAGAGCCGCAGGCCAGTGTGGAAGCCCCAGTCACAAGGCCTGCTCCAGAGTATTCTGTTCCTCATCCTCTGTGTGTAACCAACTCCAGTCTAGAGCCTGAAAGTACAGGTATGTTAAATGTTCAGCAGCCACTGTAAACCTCATCTTTTCTCTTCTGGGGGCAAGCAGCACAAGGTGGAAGTATAGTTAAACCTTTTGTCAACACAGGTCCTGACAATGCAACACACTCTTGAGCTGAGCTTCCCCTGGACTGAAATCCTGCGATGGTGCAAACTGGAAAGGTTGGTCCTACCTGTAGTTTAAACCCTCATGTTCAGGTCCATTGAAGGCAGGTAGGTAGGACTGAAAGCTCAGTTCAGCTACTATTTCCAGCCTTACAGTGGAAATGAGCTCAGAAGAATTTTTTTCCTCTGGCAGATGTGAATAAGCCTTGAAATGATTACTATAAGGTAGAAGGAGAAGAGCAGCATGACACAGAAAACCCACACTCTGCAAAGGGTGACTAGCTTACTCGAGGCCCAGAGAACCATTTAGGATCCTCTCTGTAGTTTAAGCTTTGCCTTCATTACTTTCCCATTCTAACACTGACACTGCTGAGCTCCATCCCCCACCACGCTCAGAGCTTGGCAGGTTCCTGTCTGTCACTGGGGCCCAGCAGAGCACCTGGCACACGCTGATGGGCAGCAGCAGCAATCAAGGCGCAGGTGGGCATAATGGGATAACGTTGTTTCCTCCCAGCATTAAAATCTCATAAAGATTAAATAAGACATATGATGTGCCTGTAGTGTGCAATAATTACTAGACAGACATAATTACTAGACATAATTTTATTTTATTCTATTCTATTTTATTTATTTATTTTTTTGGTGGGACCGGAGATTGAACTCAGGCCCTTGCGCTTGCCAGAGAAGTGCTTATTCCATTCAGCCTGGCTAGACATAATTTTAAAATGTACCCAAAAATCTTTTTTTTTTTTGTATTTTAGTACAGGGTCTACAGGGTCTCACTACACAGATCCGACTCGTAGTGATTCTCCTGTTTTCAGCCTCCCAAGCACTGGATTACAGGTGTGTACCACCACAACCAGTCTCAATCACTGTGTCAGCGTGCCCCAGGGGCAGGGTCAGCACAGCACACGGGGGATTGAACCCCGGTCCCTGCATCTGCCTATGCAGGCACTTTAATCCACTGAGCTATCTGGCCAGCCTGCTGTACCTGAAAGTCTTAAGTATATATGGAGGCCACATGAGACTGCAGTGAGGCCTTCGCCTTTTATTTTCTTTCCCTAATTTGCCAAAGAAGAAAGAGTCAGGCAGGGCTAGGGTTCCTGAGGGAGTTACCATGAGGCTCTGGTCCTGCTCCTTCACTGTGTCCTGCATGGCGCTCTCCAGCTGGGAGTACAGGGAATGCGCTTCAGCCACGAGCTCATCACTGTGGGTGACAACCAAGTGGTCAGACTGTTAGAGGTATTCACATGCACTGTAGCTGTTACTACCACTTTAAAATATGGTATAGAATTTTGACATTATTTTAAAAACAGAGTAGCAGTTATTCTGGTCCTGCATGCCTTAAAACAGCACATCATTGATTTATGATGTCACTCATCTGGTTAAGTACTTCTACTTAGAAGTCAAAATCCATTCATCAGCATTATTGCTCAAAATAAGAAAAATATGTAGATCTCTAAGAATAAAAAAGCAAATAAGCTCTTTCTTACTTATTAAATAGGGGACATGTTCTCTCCAAATTCCAAAACATATAAAGCTTTTCCTCAAGTTACCTGTTTTGCAATCATTGAAACAGAAAGGAAAAACAAACAAACAAACAAACAAAAAAAACAACGGGCAAAGCAATTCACCAGGTTTCCATATTTCCTTATGATCTGAAATTCAAGGTTCTGGAAACTTATTTGCTCCAATGTGCTATCTTTTCTCTGCAATAAGAAATGCCTGTCTCTTATCATGAATGCACGACCAGGGGACAAGGACAATCTAATAAGCCATTCTTCCTTTTCTGACCTCAGCTCTGTGACAGAGGCCACCATTGTCCCCTGTGCTCACAGGAAGGCTTTTCTGGGCTTTGAGAATAACACTGGAGAAAAAAAGGCAGGATGTCACTGCCCTTTAACATACTTTACTCTGCAAAATGTGATACTGTATGTAGGAAGAAATCCAGACCTCTTTTTTTTTTTTTTCAGTGCTGGAATGGAACCCAGGGCCTCACACATGGTAGGCAAATGCTGTGGAGTTACACCCTAGATCTCTAAAGCATGTCTTGCTCAACCTTACTTGCTATCAGATTAGAGTCTTGGTGCCAGCCCTAGAGGGCAATCAAAGAAGTGTGAGGCCTAGGTACTATCCAGGAGCCACACTGAGGCAGCTGCAGATGCCTGGAAGAGCTCAGACGTGAAGTGGAAAGCCACTGAAGAGATTAACACTAGATTAGAAAGGCATTTTGGGAGAAGTGAGGGCTTGGTAGCAGAACAATCAAGAAGCAGGAGGCAGAAAGCCCTACCAGGAAGAGGCCAGAATGTTCTGTTCGCTACTCTGCCACAGTTGCCCAGGCAAGAGTGGGCAGTGCAGGGATGAAAAGATGATGAGCAACACTGGGAAGAAAAACAGTAGCTTGTAAATGGAGGTGGGCAGGAGGGCAGAGGCCAACAACTCAGGCTGATGAAGGGCCTGAAGGGCCACTAGTTTTAAAGCACAGAGAATGACTGGTAGACTATAAGCAACAGCACTTTCAATATCTTCACCAAGCAATTAGTAACCCAAACCTTGGACAAAGAAACTATTTAATTGTGAGTTTTAAGGGACAACGGGGGTTGAATACATGGCTATATACAGAGATGTGCAATCATTTCAGCGTGTAGTTTCAGAGTACTTTCATCCCCAGAATATACCACACTGACCTTAGCCACAAGGCTGAGAAGCAATAGCATATAACAAAGAGAAACAGGCATGAAACCACTGGACAGATGTTTCTCTGTTAACAATGTGCACTGCTGTTCCCAGCAGCTCCTGATGTGCCTTGGAACATGAACTATTATCTGTGACTTACCTTTTCTTGGCTGGCTCAGGTAAACTGTCAGAGGGAGTGGAAGGCTGGGACATCAGCTGACAACAGTGGCTGAGTCGAGACATGTTCATGCTGTCTGGGCTTCCGCTGACAGGACCACGGACCTTGCTCTGGAGTACAAAACCAGAAAGGCAGCCAACAAAATTTTGAAGCCATGTGATGGAATGAATTTTACACTCACACTACAGTATTTCCACTGCAAGATACCATAGCTGTTCTTCAAAACTACCAGCCCATATCTGGCTCTGACAACAGCTGGGACTTCACAGTCAGGATCAAAGTATGTCTGTGCCAACTGGTGTGCTTTCTGAGAAAGAATTCGAAATACTGGTAGATGAGGGCACCTATACTTCTAGGCCTTATTGCAGTCATGTGATGTCTTAGTCAACTTTTACATAGAAACAAAGGGGAGATATTTCTAGCCTTTTCTAAGCAGAAGACTGAGCTTCACAAAAGGTTAGAGGACTGTAACTCATTCCTACTGTGGTACAGCAAAGGCACAGTGAGATACTCCAGCACTGGGGTGCTGTGGCCACTCACACCTTCTCAAACTTGTAGCTCACTGCGTGACTTACTTTTCAGCATTCAGGCCATCTCCTTTGCTAAGCCTCTGGCCAGTTGTCACCTATCTGCCTCAAAAGTTCCTCTGTCCCTGCTCCTTTCCCATAAGACCACCTAGCCTTTGGCTTTAGAGCTATGGACCTTCCCTGAGTTTATCTTCTCTCCAGCTCAATCAGCCTTTCCAGTGTCAACTCTAGCCTGCGCCTGTGCCTTCTCCACCAGCTGTGCCTCCCTGCTGTCTAGCACTTGGAGAGACTCAGCCACCCATCCCTCCTTCTGCACTAGGCCTGCAAGGCTTCAAGGCAGCAGGCCATTCCCACACAGCTGGGGTCAGCTGCTCCCTAAATTTACACACACCCAGGAGTGACTCAACTCCAGTCCCCCTGCAAACTGTGGCTATCCCTCAATCCAGTTTTAGCTGACACAAGGTGACATCTCTAAAACAGAAATGGGGTCACAGCATCCCATAAGCTCCTTTGACCTGAAAGGAAATTCAGTTTCTCCAAATGGTACAGGCCAGCCCTGACTCTTCCAATTTCTTCCTCAGTGATCACTCCTACAACCTAGAAGACATAAGGATTGTCCAGGCCTCAGGCCTTTGATAAAGCAATGCCTGGAACGTGTCCTTCTGAATAGCCATCCTGCCACATAACTCCTACTCATCCTTCAGAAACTGCCCTTGTTCCTTCACCTCAGAGGAGGAAGTTGGGGACCTTCCTGCCTGCAGTGCTCACTCAGACATAGCTTTACAGCATTTCCTGCTCTGGACCGCTGGCTGTGCCCTCTGCCAGACCATGACGCCTTGAGACAGGTACAGCCTCAGAGTGGCCTCTTCTGCACCCACCTCTACTTCTCTCAACTTCTTCATCTCACTGAAGCTCCTGTTTTCCTTCTTACAGGAGGAAATGCCACTTAGCTCTCACAAGGCAAACCCACTACCCACGCTCCTGATCAGAACTATGGGTATCAACTGTGCTTTCTCTCCAACACTGTCAATTTCCTGCTTGGTCCACAGATGTGCGCCAGCCTGCAGGTTGACTAGAACAAGCAGCCCTCTGCCCATCCTCCCCCCTCTCCCCTTGAAGTTTCTGCTCACTGAACTGCTCTCTTCCCTCCCTGCCACATGTCTACATCCCATCACAGCCCTTCACAACAGGGCCACCTCTGGCAGCTCCAGCTTCTACTGTCCCCTATGTCCTGTGCTGTCTGGTTTTTTTATGTCCTCCTGGGGGCCATCAGTGTGGTCACAGGTGCACTGAGACAGGTGCATGGCAGGTGGAGGCTGCACTGCTAGGATAGCACACACTGGGAGAGTGTCAGCCCTAAAACAGATGGCTATATTTTCACCCCTGACCTATCGCTTGACCTTTTTTAAGGGTCTTTGCAAAAGTAACTGAGTAAAGGATCCTCAGAGATCAACCTGGATTATTCAAGTATGGTTCAAGGCTGGTGATAGTGTCCAAAGGGAGGCACAGAGGTCATAGGACTGACTGGAGTGGTGTACCCAAAAGCCAAGGAATGCCTGGCACCCCAGAAGCCAGAGAGGGCAGGGTGAATTCTCTCCCAGAGCCACAGAAAGACACCATCCTGACACCTGGAGTCTAGACTTCTGGACTCAAGACTTCCCAGAGAATAATCTCAGTGCTTTGAAGCCATCTGGTTGTGCTGATTACAGCTGCCATGAGAATAAGAAAAATGACAGGTACAGCTCTTCTAGTCTCTGCACCCAACCCTCGCTCTGTGCCCCGTCACAGGGAGTGACCTGAGCAGTGGCTGCCAAGGGCTCTAGGGTGGTCCTGTGGCCCATGGGTGGGAGGCTAGATATTGGTGAGCACTGTTACTCACACATGCAATCTTCAGGAGGTTCCAGAGCTCCTTCTGCCGCTTCTCTTGGAGTTGGACAACAGTCTTCTCATCCTCATTCATCAGACTCACCACCTCTTCCACCTTGGGCAGCAACTCCAGGGCCTTCTGCTTGCAAACCACAGTTTTACTGTGAAGAACAAATAGGATACACTCTCATGGGCTTCAGGCTGGAGTGCACATAGCACCATCTCCAGCAGTTAGTGGTCCAGGAGGGCCTCAATAGTTTTCCTGAAAACACGATACCAATTGTAGCAAGAACCATCAATAGCTTCCTTGTAGTTGACCTGTGACTGTCCCTCCTACCCTTGAACTGCAAGGGGCCTTCATACCTCAGCTGTGTATAAATCACTCGCACTTTCTTCTCGAAGCCTTGAATGGCCTGAAGTAGCAACCGCACCATTTCCTGACTGTCACCATCTATTCGCTGGTCTGGGGAAGAGAGTGACACAATTGCTCCAGGAAGGTGGCAGGGAGAACCAGTGCCTCAGAAATGAGATGGAGGGGCTGGAGAGATGGCTCAGTGGTCTGGAGCACCTACTTAGAACAAGCTTGGCGAAGCATTAGGGACCTCGGTTCGATCCCCCAGCGCCACATGCCAGCCAGCCGCGCCCCCTGGTGGGCTGAGCTGGCCACACACACACACCACACACACTCTCTCTCTCTCTCTCTCTCTCTCTCTCTAATAAATAAATAAATAATAAAAAAAAAGAGGTCTGTCTTTAAAAAAAAAAGAAATGAGATGGAAGGCCCTGAGGCAACCTAGACCACCTACCTCTTGGCTTTTCCCTTAGTCTCCTGTAGAGCTCTCTTGCTTGCTCCTCTCTGAAATACATAAGCAGTTGTGTGTAGATTCAAGGCCGAACAGGCACATATATAGCATTACAAATCCTTTTTTGGTCACAGGATCATGTCAATTCTATCCTGTAGTTCAGGTTGGCCATGAGCTCATTATGTAGCTCAGGCTGGCTTTGAACTGTGTGGTAATCTTTCTGCCTCAGTTGCCTGAGTGTTGGAATTGCAGGTGTGCAACATCATACCCAACCAGTACTGCTACTTCTTCTTCTTTTTTTTTTTTTACTAATAAAAATTATATTTACTTAGAAGCATTCAGAATGTCAACAAAACAGTTGCAACTTTTTTTTTTTTTGCAATTACAGAGTGGTATTCAGTTAATAGGACAACAATTATTTTATATAAGCTGCATCAGAGACAACTGAAGATGAAAAATTACCATCCCCATATATAACTAATTCATGCTGTGTACTAACAAGAACCTGCTTTAAATTTCCATGCCTATTTACAACCCCCATACTGTACCAGGCAAGGTTAGTGGCTACTGAAACTATCACCAGGACAGGGCTATCTAAAGACGCATTTGTTAGTGTGTTAACTATACAAAAACAAACAAACAAAAAAAGATACTGCATAGTTTTTGTTTTTTGTTTTTTGTTTTTTGGTGGAACCGGGGATTGAACTCAGGACCTTGCACTTTCCTTATTCTACTGAGCCATCTCCCCAGCCCCAAGACACTGCATAGTTTAAAAACATATCTTACACAGCCTTACATCTCAAATTTTTTCTTCAAAAGGAGTGAGTTATGTACAGAGGGGTTTAAATGCTTTATAAACAAAAAAACCCAAAACTGCGCTAGAACCACCTTATTCATAATCCTCTTCTTCATCCTCCTCATCCTCTTCATCTTCCTCTTCCTCTTTCTTATCCTCCTCCCCTTCTTTTTCTTGCTTTTTTCAGCCTTGACGACTCCCTTTTTTGCTGCATCAGGTTTTCCTTTAGCCTGGTAGGCAGCAATGTCCTTTTCACACTTTTCCTTCAGTTTAGCAGCCTTCTTCTCATATGGCTGCTTGCCCTCTGCTGCAGTATTATTCCACATTTCTTCAAGTTTCTTTGTGACATCATCAATAGAAAGGCCAAGATGTTCTCCTTTGATTTTTGGGTGGTACTCAGAACAGAACAAGAACAAAAAGAAGGCCAAAGGAGGCCTCTTGGGCACTTGGGATCCTTGAACTTCAATTTTGTTTCTCCTTTAGGAGGAATATAAGTTTTCATTTCTCTTTCATAATGAGCCTTGTCCACTTTTGCCATGTCTTCAAATTTTCCTTTTTCTTTAGCAGACATGGTCTTCCACCTCTCTGAGCACTTCTTAGAAAACTCTGAAAAGTTAACAGAACCATCTGGGTGCTTCTTCCTGTGTCCTTCTTGGCAAGTTTGCACAAAGAATGCATATGATGACATCTTGCCTCTTGGCTTCTTAGAATCTCCTTTGCCCATGTTTACTTGTTTTCCTCAGTGAGGTACAGAGTCCCCCAGTGTCCATCCAGTTCTCATTGGCACTGTCTCTATGGAGCTCAATGTACTGCAATGGCTGTAGTACTGCTATTTCTTGACAGCACAACAAAAGACTTAAGCAGAGTGGCGAAACCAAATCTTGTGCCTTAACATCTATTTAATCTCATTTTACCCCTGTCTTCCACAATAATTAGGCCAAAAATGTCTCCTTATGAGTCTAGTGATTAGCAAGCAGACAGTGGGAAAATGCCACTCTACCTTGTTCATTGTGTAATATGCCAAGAACTGTACATGGTCGGACTAACAAGAGAGGAGGACAGACCAAGGAAATAATGATCTCTGTTCCTGAGATCTACAGAACTAAAAAGTATCTTGTTTAGTTGAGGTGCGTCATCTGGCCCTCTCCCCTGTAAGCAGGAGCACAGTGGTCTAGTGACACTCACTAGACCTAGATAAACCACCAGTCAGCTTCATGGCAAAATGGTCTAGGACAAGAATCCTCTAGCACCCTGGCCAGCCAGAAGGCACCTTCCTTGCTTCAGCACATCCTCTCCCAACCTAACTATCATGCTGTATGGCAAAGTCTGGAATCAAGACTGGTCACAGGTCCTTCTCAACTGAGGACTAATCTTTCTGGTGATGTCCATAGCAATCGAGTGACAGCCTTATCAAAACTCAAATATCGCACAAGGTTTAATGAGGAAGAAATATTCATGCGATCTGGAATTCCTTTTCCACTTGGCTTCTATGATGTGATTCCAGAGCCCTCCTTGCCTGTGCAGGAAAACCTGCCCACCCTGAAAACCTGAGCCCATGAAGGAGTATAAGCTTCCACCCTTTTCCCCAACACAGGGAAGATTGGCAACATTCTCTAAGAAGACAAATTTGAAAACAAGGGAATTAAAGTTAAAGAATTAGAGGACATACAAAACAAATAATTACATTTCTGTTCAGATTTATCATTCTAAGAATCCTAACAACAGGTAACATTGCTGAGTTCAAAGTGATAGACCCTCTCAATAAACCAATCCAGACTCTCTGCACATGGGGGCTGTAAGTTACTTCCTCCTGATAGTGTGGCTCAGTCCAATGCTGCATCCCCTCATGAAGCCAAAGGCAGATACCTGAAAAAGGCTCAAATGAACAGTGTCCATGTCCAAACTTCCAGGCTTGCCAGGCTCCTCCCTCTCTGTAACACCTCCTGCTCTTTGAGACTGAAAACCTGGTGGACCAAGCGGGTATGTCCAATAGGATAGTAAAGACCACTTCTATTTTATAGCCTTTATAGATTACAAACTGCTTCTCAAATGCATTATCTGAATGGATCCTTACAACTTAGTAAGATCAGCAGGGTTTCTTTGTCACTTAACAGTTTTGAAAACTAAGGGTCAGCTCAGCATGATGTGATTTGCTCTGGATCACCTCTGGGACATACACAGATGACTGACCAGGGGACAGGCTCTATGGAACATAGTGCCATAACCTCTGGGGACTATCCCAACACACATATGGGACTCTGCAGGGGGTACTCACAGGTCATCCAGGGTGCCACCCTGCTTGCGCCCCATTGGGCTCCTCTGCAAATCCACGATGTCAGTCTGAAGGGCCATCATCCGCTCTACAAGATACTTCACCTCGTTCTCCTAATGAAAAGACTGTGCTAATGTCAACTGATATAAGAAGAGCATACTGACAGTCAAGATCTGCCAAAGGTGGCAGAGAGAGACTCATAACTCTCAGAGACTCTCAACTGACTGGCCAGAAGGAATGTGAACTGTGGTATCAGAAAGAATTGAATTTGGATCCTGCATCTACTGGTATTAGCTGTGGGACTCTTGGGCAGTTACCTAACTTGTGAGCTTTACTTTCTGCTTCAGTAAGATAGGCTTCTAATAGAGCCATTCACAGGATTAAATAAATAACTAGAATGGAAAAGATGGCCAATGTACATTATTCTGTCCCCTCTTAAATTTGTCCATTTCAATGCCAACCCATGGAGGGAGACCTGAATTCCTTTATTTCAAAGATTATGTGTTTGAGAGCCAAGTTTGAGAGAAGCACAGCCCATCATCTATGGCTATGGAATCATATGTAGGACATCCACCCTGAGCATGCATGCATCTGCCAAGACTATTATCAAAACAGACATCAGGGCACAGGGAGGGTGCCCCCATCCAAGGGCACTGGAAAAGGTGCTAGAGATGTCTTGGAGCACAGGGGCTTGATTTTCTGCAACATTCATAGTCATGCTCACTGTATTTGGCTTCACAATTACGTTTAATGGCATGTGATACACGTGTTCTGAAACTTTCTGCTTCAATTTTGTCTTTCTATGGATTTGACATCCAATAAAATTAAGAAACACTTTTGACAAGAGGGAACGCTAAACATCCTATCCTCCACTGCTCTTCTACAAGGGCACTTAGCATTTGCTCTTTATTTAAATTTTATTTATTTATTTATTTTGTGTGTGTGTGTGTGTGTGTGTGTGTGTGTGTGTGGCCTGCTCAGCCCACCAGGGGGCGGGGCTGGCTGGCAAGTGGTGCTGGGGGATTGAACCGCAGTCCCTGTACTTTGCTTGGCTTAGCTTGTTCTGAGTAGGTGCTTTAGACCACTGAGCCATCTCACCAGCCCCTGCTCCTTATTTAAATGTGGAATTCTCTGCCCCTCTGGACAGTGCTAGGGTCTTGCCACAGACGGTTTCCTTTGGGCTCTCAGTTCACTTCTAGAAAGTTCAGCTATAATCTAAGTGGTTGGTGAGGAAAACTTGAATTCAGACACAGAAGACCAACCCAGTGTTTGACAAGAGTAATACAGAATGAAGCCTCACCCACACCACAAGTACAAAATCCAAACTTGACTTTCCTACCCGCCCACACAACTCCACTTTCTGTTCCATGTCCTTCCAGGCTAGCAGCAGTTTATCTGATGCTGGAAAAAAATTGGGGGGAAAAGACAAATGAAAATACCAGAAACTCAAAACAGAAATAAGCAACTCTATTATAAGAGAAGGAAAAAAAAAAACCTCAAAAAGAAATAAAAGAAAGGGCCTCTTAAATTTATTGTGGAGTACTCACTGATTCCAAACTCAGTCTGCTCACTGTATTTCTCCAGGTCGATCTGGATGCTGGTTTTAAAAAAATCCAACTTGGCCTTGAGCTGCTGAGACATGGAGGCCATGGAATTCTTCATTTTGGAGAGGCAGCTGTTATTCCGGAGGAGATTCATCCTGCAGAGACCACAAGAAATGGAATGTTGGAGAGCTTGGAGATCCAATACCATTTCCTACAATAACAGAACCCCATCAAAAGTCCAGGGAGGTCCTCATTGTAATAACATCCTTACTACCACTAAAGCAGCCATTTATAACTGTAAGGACAATTTCCTGGCCTTCAGCAATACATGGGGTTCTGCAGCAAAACTAGAATTAGGCAAAGTACTACATAAAGGACCAATAATCTAAACTTGTCCTAACAGGATAGAGTTAGTAAGATCCCAACATAATAATCAGGGAAGTTTTGCCAACCCAAATTGCAATGCACTTCTCTGAGGCCCCAATTCTGCCCACAGCTTGGCCCACCCAACCCTCAGTTCTGCACTCCTATGACACATACTAACCATATTCACCTCGTCAGGCCCTCCTTGGGTAGAAGGGGCCTCCTTCCAGCTGGCCCACCCCGACCACCTCCTGCCATCCAAAAGTGTCTCTCTCTTGTCTCTCAAAACAGTTGCCTCTGCTCCCTGCCTCAGCCACCTCCCAAGGGCCAAATCCACCAAGCAACTCTAAATGAACTAAGTCAAGTATATCTGGCACAGTACATGGCAGCTCGCTGTCCTTGCTGCAGCCGGTTGCAGTCTTCCTTCAGGGTCTGGATGCTGTGCCAAACCTGGCCCCACACTTTCCTCAGCTGGAAAAAAGGGAGGTTCCTCTTGGGCTCCTGAACTGCGCACAGAGACAAGGAAATGTCAGAGGGTGATGCCCCAGCAAAAGGCCACATCTCTCCCTGCTGCTCACTGGCCCGGGGAAAACCCTTAACTCCTGTGCTATCAGGGAACTTGTCAGGCATTATGCCTTTTTTTAACCCCTCAACACTGAAGATTAAACTTAGGGCCTTTGCACTGAGCTAAATTCTCAGCCCTTTTTAAAATTTTTTAATTGAGGTGGATCTTCCTAAGGCCCAACTGCCCAGGCTGGGCTTGAACTTGCAATTGATCCTTCTGCCTCAGCCTCCCAGAGAGCTGGGATTACAGGTGTGTACCGCCACCCTTGGCTCCCTATATATATTTTCAATAGAAACTCAACATTTATGACATTTGAAGTTATATTAAATTCTATAAAAATGCAACATCAGCGAGCACTACTGAAGATGATTAAATAAGCAGGAAGGCTGGAGATCTCTAAAATCTGTTTATTCTGAGTGTATGTATGTGGATGGGGTGGGGACACAGGAGTGGCAGGGGCATTAAAATGTTCTTGGAACACTCATGCAATGGGACTCGGTCAACCATTAAAAATGGCAGTTCTATATGCACCAATGGTAGAAACATCTGGAAAACACTGCTAATTCAAAAGAGTAAGGGCTGGGGAGATGGCTCAGTAGAATAAGCGCTTCCCTGGCAAGCGCAAGGGCCTGAGTTCAATCCCCGGTTCCACAAAAAAAAAAAAAACAAAAAACAAACAAACAAACAAAAAAAACAAAAGAGTAGTAACAGAGCAGTATATGCTATATGACGTCACTGTTTAGGAGAAGGTGCTCTGGAAAGAAACACAAGAATCTCACAGCAGCATTCTTCCTGGGAGGGGAACTCACTAGCAGGGGAATGGGGCCCAGACTGGCTTCTTTCTCATTGTATGTTCATTCTGATGTACCTTTTGAGTTTCAAAAAGTATCATGTACATACACTAATTATTAAAATATAAATGCAACTTGAAGAATAAATCAAATGGTTAACAGAGCAGGCAAGCAGGCAGTATTCTCTGCTCTAACTGAGAACCTCTCTTTCTCCTGCGTGCTTTGGGCCACTCCTTCCTTGCCCTAAAGACTGAGTATGCAGTCCCTGCTCACACACCCTCCCCCTTGTTCCAAGTATCACAACTGATCATTTTTGAAGAAAAGATGCTCTTACGGATGCAACTGACACTTTCAGGCTGGGGTCGTGGGGAGATCTGAGTCTCATAGGTGATTTTACTATTGTCAAAGAGGAAGACAAGATCCATATCCATAGTGTGGCCCTCATTTGGCTGCAAAGAGATAAGGCTAGAATGAGATCAAGTGGATCCCGCCCTTCCCTTTCCCAACTAATCCTGAACAGCTTTAGAGCATTTCCTGCTGTCCCCAAGAGTATCTCAGGTCACCAGGTACAGAGCACCAGGTACAGAGGAGGCACAATGCTTTTCTTCCCAATTCCACACACATTTCCTTACTTCTGGTTTTTGGAAGCTAAACCTTATATACAAAGATTCAGGTTCTATTTATTCTGATTGCCTTTCCCATGAAATTCATGTCTGCCGCCCTATGCAGTGACTTGTTTCTCCTATGTAAACTCCATCCATTATGCTGACCTATGAGCACTTACATCTGCACTGCTGCAATCAACACAGTGACTTAGCTCCTTACACAGGGATAATTATAAAAAGCTTTTGCTGACTCAGAAAAGCAGAGCACCATTTTGGCAAAAAAGCGAATGAAAGCCACTCTCCATAGTCTGGAAGAAACAAGTCATATATGGAGTGATGCTTGTTTTCCCATCATACAGCAACAAGCAGGCACTTGAACAGTGGGCTTAACTGCTTCACAGCATAAAGTAGCAATCAGACTGTGTGGTTTGTTTCCTACAAGACAAAGTCAGAAAACAGCAGGGAAGCCTTGCTCACCTTGCCATCAGAAATACACTGAGTGGCAGGCCTGTCAGGGATCAAGGCCAGACCTGCCTCCTGCAGCAGCTCCTGATCCTTCTCTGGGATTCCTGTGTCCTCCTGGATTCTGGCCTTCAAGCTCTGCAGACTCTCATCTTCTGTTACTGGGTAGGTATGAATGGTGCCTGTGACCATGTTCAAGATATGAACCAGCTGCAACATAGCACAGATGTTAGGAGAAGCACAGTCTTTACAGAGGTGCCTGTCTATGTGCTGAGAGCCTTCACTACTCCCCACATTTCCCAGCCCCACAAGGCCTAAATCAAGGAAGGGAGGCAGGCATATTAACTATTCAGTAGTCTCATCCTTTTACTTGTGGAGACAGACTCTTGCTGGACTCTGTACTTCCCACTCATCCACCTGGGCATTGGAAGCTTGTCCTGTGTCCTCCTTTTCATCCCACTTTTCCTGGGGCTCTCTAGGCTGTATGCTTACCTTCAGGTTTAAGATGTCATCCAGGGCCCGGAAGCAGCCATTGGGCCCATACTGGGGGTCTGTGCCCCTTTGCCGGGGGTGCCACATAAGCATCAGCTGCAACCACTTCTCCAGTCGCTTGGCCAGCACACTAAGAACAGGAGCAGAGTGAGGAGCAATGCCTCCTGCCAGGCTCAGACTGCAGCACAGGTGGATTTGACAGTGTGACCTGGGGCTCATCTTGTCACAAAGGCAGCCATAACCATTATTGAAAATGAAAATGGACAGATCTGAGAAAAAGAGCCAAAAGGCTACCAACCAATTTAACTATTCAGTACACATCCCTCTCTCCTAACCTCCCACTAAAACAGCTCTCACCAGGAAGGGATTTCTAACATGGACTGGCAAACAGATAGATCTCCACTGGCTGCATAGGCATGACCTTCGAGGAGACTTTAATGTGCTCCCTGGGAGCCAGCTCAAGGGTATACACAGCACCTTACAGCATGCACAGTGGGTGCCTTTGATCCATACCCAGTGCTGCAGCCAGGGGTTGGGTGAGGCGGGGTCACAGTCTAGACCAGGGCTCTCCAGGCTTAGGCCTTGGACAGCACTGGTCCACAGCTTATAAGCAACAGGGCTGCAAAACAGGAGGTGACTTGCAGGGGAGCAAGCATAGCTTCATCTGGATTGACAAATGGCTTCTGTTTCCTTAGTGACTGCCTGAGCACCCCCTGCTGTCAGGTCAGGGAGTTGACTGCTGTGAACGGCATGTGAGTGACCGAGGTTGTAAGCTCACAAGAATCTAACATAATAATGTTTCATAGAAATCTGCAATGACCTTTATTTTTATTTATTTAATTTATTTATTTATTTATTTTTTTGGTGGAACCAGGGATTGAACTCAGATCCTTGCATTTGTCAGTCAAGCGCTTAGCCTACTGAGCCATCTCTCCGGCCCTCTAACATAGTAATGAAGTGCACAAGAAATGTGGCACTACAGTCATCCTGAAACCATCTCTACCCAGTGAATAGCAAAACTGTCTCCCATGAAACTGGTCCCTGCTGTGAGAAAGGCGGCCCGCTGAGCTAGAATCTATGCTGCTGGGTTGGTTAATCCTGCTCATCATGAGCAGCTGGTGGGTGTACACACAAACTTCAAACTCCTGGCCTCAAATCTTCCTTCTGGAGATAGCAGATCCTCCCCAGAGGCCTTGGCAGCTACTCATCACCTCCCTTGCAAGTCCCTACTTGCCCCGACCTCTACCCTTCCCCTTGGTGTTGACTTCCTTCACCCTCCTCACCTACCTGTGGATCTCAGAAGTTCCAGCATAGATAGTCAATGCATATAAAACCTCTCCCATCCTCAAATACTCCTGGTCCTCATCATCCATGCAATGCAATTATGTGTGACTGCCTTGAAAATTTCCTTTGTAATGTGATCCAATTCTGGTAAATTAATTACCTGCTTATGTCCTGGCTCTAAGACTAGACCAAAGACTTACTTAGTGATACAGTTTTGGGCCAAACAGTACAAAAATAAATAAGGTGTAACCCCCATCATTAAAAAGCCAAGATTGGTCTCATCTTTAGCACCACAAAAAGAAAACAAATGAAATGAAAAAGTGATTTCTGAGGAGGTGAGGGAAAGTAATCTATATTTGAGATGGGTTATGGCAAATTCTGTCTTAAACAGGAGTTATCAGATATGAGCTCAGATTTGCATCCCTGCAAAAGGCAAGAATGTAGAAGAGTCAGATGACTGGGACTCACCTGTTCAGATTGTTGGGGTAAGGTAAAGAGCTTGAGAACTTCACTGTTCCATTCAAGTCTTCACTAACAACAATATCTGCCTCACTCTTCTGCCGGACTTTTGAATGCCTGCAAATGAGCCATCTGTTAATGAGCCATCAGAGCCATGTACACTCAGTGGTCAAGAGCCCTTTCCATTTGTAACATGACATTACAACTCTAGGATTCTCAGAATACCCCTCCCATGGACATTTAACCTTCTGGAATAATGCTTAATAGCCTGGTGTTACAGTTTGTATCTAGATGTCGCCCAAAACCTCATGTGCTCCACTCCTAGGTGACTGAAGTTAGGGCTGGAGGACTCCCAGGGACTTTTGGGAGGTGACTAGATCATGAGGGCATGACACTCATTGGTAGATTAGTCCACTAATGTTGGTCACTGGGGGTGTGGCCTGGAAAGGTCCATCTAGCTCTCTCCTCCCTTGATCCTTCTGCTTCCTGCTCTCCTGCCATGAACTGTCTCTCCTCTGCCACGCCCTGAAATAAGACCACTACAAACTGAGCCAAAATAAACCTCTCCTACTTAACAGTTGTGGGCACTGGGTTTTGTGTCTGAGTGGCAAGAAGGTAACTGAGATATCAGGTTTTTCTTAAGAGTGGTGGGTACTGGAGCTAGAGGTGTAGAGGCTATGTCAGATAACAACAAAGGTCAGCACACCTCAGTAGGTGTCTGAAGGGCAGCCTAGCAGACTATTGACTGTTTTGTGTCCCAAGTTCTGCAGACAATACTGCCAATCCCTGTGTCACCCTTGGCTTTTCCATTTCCATTTTATCTATACAAGTGCTCAAGTTTTAACAAAGGGTAGAATTAGATCTTCCAAACCAAGATCATGCATACATGTCACATTCATATGGATCAGGTGTGATACACATGCACACATGCACTTCCCTTTGAGTTACACAAGTAACTTTTTTTTTTATAGGTCAGTATTTTTTCTAAGGATAAACGAACTTTTATTTTTCCCAATTTAAGAACTTCTTGGTATATCTGAAGTAAAATCTGAAGGGAAAAAATTTTAAATCCAACTGGCTTCCAGCTTTCCTGATAACAACAACAACAATGTGAATATGGAGAATGCCTCACAGGTAAACTATGTGATTGGCTCTCCTTGCTGCTATAAAACCCTATGTATGGGGCAGGGGAGATGGCTCAGTGGAATAAATGCTGCCCTGGCAAGCGCAAGGGCCTGAGTTCAATCCCTGGTTCCAGGAAAAAAACAAAAAACAAAAAACAAAAAACCCAAAAAACAAAAAACAAAAAAACCCCTATGTAAGTTGCCACTTGGTGAGGAAATGAGGATTAGGTCATCTCTCTAGGATCACATGCACAACTAGGGTGTGGCAGAAATGGAAACTCAAATTAAAAATCTGGTTTTCTCTGTACTCTGCCTGATGCCCAAATACATTTTTTTCCCAAAAGAGTTGAAAAATTCAAATAAAAAGTTCTCTAGTCATGATCAAGTGTCACTGGCAAGCAGGGACCTGGCTTCTGAGGACCACACAGAAGAGGTGCACATAGAAGAGGGTGCTATGTATAACTCTAGGGGAAAATGTGATGGAGGAGTTGGCCCAAGGCTTTCTAAATAAAGTGAACAAGTCTGCTATAGAAAATTTAGTCTGAAAGTGAGAAGTTAGAAAAAGGCACACTAAGTAAAATACATGTTGCTTATGTTAGTCCTGAAATAAATTTCAAAGTGGCTTTGCAATACAACTCTAACACCTAAGTTGTCTCTGCCTTAAAATTCCTTTCTACCACTTCTTTAGATGGAGAGAGAAATTGTTAGCAGTCTAAGACATTAAAAAAGCCAATGGCAGAGGCTCTACTTCTTTCTGGGTTTCAGAATAGTCAACTTGCAGTCGCCTCGTGGCTTCCAACACCTCTGAGGGAAGTTCCAGCAAGAATTCTTCAGACAGCAGGTTCACTATAAGATGGTCAACCATCAGTGATATATTCCCAAGAAGAGCTTGCTCTTGTAGTTCTCATGGATTTTAACTCATCTTTTATAAAAGTCATGGAAAAGATTAACATTTGAATTTGTTACAAATGAAATAATCCCTTGGCTAATTGAAACCATTACAGGGCTGGCCAAATAGCTCAGAGGATTAAAGCACCCGCAAGCAGGTGCTGGGGCTGGGGGTTCAATCCCGAGGCCTGCTGTGCTGGCCCTGCCTCCAGGGTGCTGAGACTACAATTGAGACTGGGCTTGTGGTGCATGCCTGTAATCCCAGCTCTTGGGAGACTGTAAACAGGAGAATTACTATGAGTCCAATCTAGTAGCGAGACCCTGAACACCCTGTAGACCCTTCCCTAAAAATACCAAAAAAAAAAAAAAAAAAAAAAAAAAAAAAAAATTTACAGATGTACAAATAATTCAGAATTACCTTTATGATCAGTAACTGTGACCATTTGTTATAGTTTATGTCTAGTTGTCCCCACAAAGCCTCATGCAGTCATTGGGGCAGACTTCTAGAGTTTGTAATTAATTCATGATCCAATGCTGGGATTAGGGGTGTGGGTGCTACACCTAACCTGGGGCAGACAGCCTGCATACCATGTAAGGAAGGGACAGAGACTGGCTAGCTGCCACAGCCGCTTCTTCTCCCTTTGCTTTTTGCTTTTTTCCACCTCCATGAATGGCTGCCCTCTACCATGTGCCACTCTGCCTTAGAGCCAGATGAATATGGACTGAAACTTCCACTAACTGTGAGCTAAATAAACCTTTCCTTCCTAAATTTTGGGTGTCGGGTATTTTGTCCCAGCAATGAGAAAAAAGTAAACAAAACACCATTAATTAATTACCTAATCCTACAATGTTCCAGAACCTCTGCAGCTAAAGCAATGGTGCCTGCTCTGTGGTAACTGCTGCAGGAGGGTACCCCCTACCCTCACCAGATGCCCCTTTGCATTCTCTAGGACTAGAGTCTTGGGGTACTACTCTTTCCTAGAACCCATTTCCCTGGTCACTCATACTTTATTCTTTTCGATAAACATTCTCATGCAATAAATACTTGTCCTTTGAAAAGTTAACATTTTCACCACTTCCAGAAAGATACTCAGAGAACAGCCAGTGTGGGCAATTTGTGGTGAGAAGCACATATCTATGCCTGCTTTGGGCACGCAGCATAACACACATCAAAGCCCTTACAGTATGTATATATTCTTTCAACTATTAATTCCACACCTAGGAATCTGTCCTAGAGAAATAACTGTGGGTGCACAAGGATATCCCTACCACGATATTATTCTTGGTGTTATTTTAAGAAACCAAAGTTGTAAACCACTCAAGATTCCAGCCACAGGGCACAAGTACAGCCACTTAGTGGAATTACAAACAGATATTGTGAGTAATATGGAAAACTCAGGAACATTCAGTGTTCGTTTGAAAAGCAAGTTACATTAAAGTATATGTAATAACCTTATTTTTTTTTTAAAAAAGGTTATAAAACATACACACATACAGACACACTGGAAAATCTGGAAACACAAAAATGTTCACACTAATTGTTCTAGATTGTCTTATTTACATGATTCTTGTTTATTTTTTCCATATTTTCCAAAAATATAAAATAACATAGAATTAGTCTGACACAAATGAGGGGTGATCAAACTGTGCAGTATTTTTAGGCTCAAGACAAGGGATATTTTTTGTGTTATAAACTGGCTCTGAAGGAAATTCTCATGGTGAAATCTTTCAAAGACATCTACAAGACAGTGTTCATACTATGCTACTACTACTGTAAGAAATAGGATGATCCATAAGGGAAAAATATATGCCAATTTGGTTGAATGGATATAAAATGTCAAAAACAAACAAACAAAGCAACCAGGGCATCAAGTATTTGAGGGGAAGAGGCCACAGAGGTGAGAAAATGATACGAGACTTTTCGCTATGCATATACACACACACACACACACACACACACACACACACATATATATAGACAGATATATAGATATAGATATAGATACATATATATATATATATTTGCATTTGGTATAGGGTCTCACTACATAGATCGGACTCATAGTGATCCTCCTGTTTTTAGCCCCCCAAGCATTGGGATTACAGGTGCATGCTACCATGCCCAGTCTCCATTGATGTCTCAGTGCATCCTGGGGGTGGGGCCAGCACAGCATGCCAAGGATCAAACCACAGCCAACATGCTCTGCCTAAGCAGGTACTTTATTTAGTCCACTGAGTTATCTGGCTGGCTTTTTTTTTTTTTTTTAACTTTTGATGTTTAAAACTTGAGAACTAAAAAAAAACCAAAAACCAAAGAACTTGCAAACTTACATCTGCTCCAAAAAAAATGAGATTAAAAGAATTTTGAGCAATAGAAGCCTCATTTAAATTAGTGTGACCTCTTAAGGAATAATTTTGATTGAAAACTAACCGATTTAGGGGAATGTTAGCTTTTAAATTACCCATGTCATCCACCAAAAAAAAAAAAAAAAAAAAAAAAAAAAAAAAAAAAAAGGAAAAAAAAAAAAAAAAAAAAAAGAACTGCTAAATTACCCATGTCAGTAAGAGTTAACTTTGTTTTCCTCCCAGGACCTTAACTGGGGTATATTTATTGTGTAAAACACCAATTTTGCACATATTTGTGTATGTTTTCTACACGTTATAGAATGAATGAAACATATGTATTACCTGATGTACTTACAAGATTTTGCAGTGATGATTAACTTCTATTTATAAAAAAATGCATTATTTTAATAATTAGTAAATAAAAGGCCAGAGTGGTGGTGCAAAACCAAAGTTAACAGAATGGTTTTTGAAAGTCTTAATTGTATCCTTTGGTTTTTAAAATTAGAAAATAGTTATTTTGTAATTTCTTAGGTTCACATTTTAAGCCACTTCCTTATGCTTTTAGAACAAAAATTTATATCCAAAAGTAGTGAAACTGGACTGTGGTATGTTTTCACATAAATGTTGTCTGGTCTGTCTGCACATATGGCCTTTACTTCTGTTTATGATACACAGTATGTCTTATTTTGGTGCTGGAAGTAACAAGGTCCTGACTTGTTACTGACTACAGAGCAAAATAACACTGATCTGCTACCTACTTAAAGACATTACTGGGGCCAGGGAGATGGCTCAGTGGAATAAGCACTTCCCTAGAAAGTGCAAGGGTCTGAGTTCAATCCCTGGTTCCGCCAAAAAAAAAAAAAAAAAAAAGACATTACTTAATAGTCACTCTTTTCCTGAGTGAGTGGTGCTCACACATGGGTCCACCAGGTCTCCCGCCCAGGGATAGCTCAGTCAGCCTGGGCAGGCTGGGATACATGGTGGACCAGGAGGATGATAAGAAGTAGAGCTGATCTCTCCCCTGGCAGCTCCCAGAGCACTGCCCTCCCCACCTCCTGGCTCACTCACCACTGCACGGGTTGCCAGTTGGGGAGGAAAGGCCGGAAGCCAGTGATACACTCGAAGGCAAGGGTGCCAAAGCTCCAGTAGTCTACAGTCACTGTGTACCTCTGCTGCTCCAGCAGCTCAGGGGCCTGCAACCACATAAGCAGGGATACATCCTGTCAGGAATGGTGGCAATCATTTCTCCAGTGCCCATGGTCTCTGGGCTCTTTCCTGGGACAGTGTGGCCACGTGGGAGGAGGTAGTCAGTCAGGTCAGCTATATGACCTAAGGCCTGCTGTGCCTCATACACTCACTAAATGCTGGCAGAGGGTGAGGAGTCAGGGCCCCTAGAATCATTCTAGAGTAGACCAGCACGTGGCATGGACCACACTTGTGCTTCAGTTTGTGCCCTTTGATAATGATGGGTAGAGGCTAGGGTTGTGGCTCAGTGGGAGAGTATATGGCTAGTATATGGGTTCCATCCCCAGCGGCACTCATGCCTGCATACCACATGAGTTAAAATATGGAACTATCTTAGGAATTCACTGAAAACTAACTCAGGATAGTGCCTAGTCCTATATGCCATACATGGAAGGGAAGATAGGTTAGTGCATCCAGGGAAAATGCTACTAAGCTGAATTAAACACAGACCATGCAAAAGCATGGGATATTTACAATTAGACAGGACAAAGTCAAAGGTGTGACTCCTTATCAAGGTGGAGAGAGCTGAGGTGACCTGGGACCATCACAGAGGCAGTGAAATTGGTCATGGTTGCTATGGAAATGTGACCTTACAAAACAGCCAGGTAGCCCAAACCCAGAGAAGTGCAGGGATGGTCAGTTCCTGGAGCGGTCTGGCTAGGGACAGATGTCTGAAAACCTGATTTGGTATTCTGGGCAGAGTTTGGGGTTGTTTTCAGCAAGCTGCTGCTGAGCTTCAGGGATTCCAGGGAGGCCAAAGGATGCATGTCGTGACATCTGACCTAGACATTGGGATTTCTCCCTGCACAGAGGAGTTGCTCACTGCCCTAGCTGGCAGAATGGGCAGGAAATACAAGTGTACACAGAGACATCAACTTCTTTCTTATTTAAGAACCAGATGGTACTCCTAAGCCCATCTAGCCCAGTGGCTTTCAACTGCAGACCCCACTACAATCACGATGTGACAGGCCACTATTATACGTGACAGCCCACAATGGGTCTGAGAGTGCTCTGTCAAGAGTCTGATTCCTGCCCCAGCACTGCTGTACCACTCTGTACAGGCTCTGGTGACTTCCTCCTCCCAACATGACTCTGGTCCAGGCAGGGCACTCTCCACATGGCACCAGCAGTGGTCTTTGGCCTTCTCCAATGTAAAGGCCTTCAGTTAATGCAGAGGCTTGAGAAATAACCTAACAGCATTTGCCCAGTTACAAAAGTCCTTGCCTACCTCCCCAGCTTTAATTCCAGGCCCTCTTTTTCTTCCTTTAGGGCTTGGCCATATTCTCAGGTCTTCCTATGCACTATCACTCTACCCAGAACCCCTCTGCTCAGAACCCCTATTCCTCTCCACCTCTGCCTCTTCCAGTTACCAACCCATCCACTTCCTCATCTTATAGGGCAGCAGCTATACTAGGTCCTCTTAAAAACATCCCTGGAGTACCCAGTGCTTTTTCTGAGTTTTGTGGATAACAATGCAATGCCTGTTCTTTCGTCAAGCTCTAAAATCCTGAAGAGGTAGACAATGCGTATCTTCTTTTGCCAATGCACTGCCAGCACTTGGCATGCAGACTGCACTTGCTCCATATTCCCAAATGAACGAGCAACTCAAACAGAAGCCCAGTCCTCAAGCGACCAACATAAGGTAACAGAAGGGGGAGCTGAGTCTTATATAACTTGTGGCCTCTAGACCAGCAGGAGCCTAATTAAATCCCTTTATTTTCAGGTAAAATACTGAGGCATAGCCAGGCTGCAGGATCTGTGTGAAGATACTAGTACACACACCCCTTTTGATGTCAGAGAAGACAAGGAATCCTTCTAGAGGTCATCTGTTGGCAGAGAATTTATTTGAGTGGATTATGGTTCTACAATGAGCTCACATGACAATTCCTATGCTTTCAGGAAATATTCACAGAGCCAGTGAGAGTCAGACATAGGAAGGTAAGGTAAAGCAGAGCACCACAAACATACCACCAGAGAAACTGATACGCGAACACATAAATTCCATTTCTTACCAGGTACTGCAGGGTCCCCACAAAGGAAGTACAAAGACTGCCCTGATCCAGTTCCTTGGCATATCCTAGGTCAATAATTTTGTGAATTAACTGAAAAAAAGGAAGTAGAAATCTAAGGATTATAAGAATACACTGTCCTTTGATTAGGGTAGAGGTATTTCAAAATTCCCAAGGGGTATGGAAGCTTAGATTCTTAAGAGCCACCACATAAGAGAGAATGCCCTTGGCATGCTAAGTTCAGGACCAAAAAAAATGCATGCTGTAATGATGTTAGCTACTCCTTCTGTTTTGCTTTGCTTCTGGTCACCACAGGGAGGCCAACGTTAACAGGCCACACACCAGCTCTCAGGATCCCTAAGCATGGACCTCTAACGTGAGAAATCCAGCCAGCTACTTCTTAGCAAACAGTCCTCAACTCTTGGAACTACCACCAAGAATGAGTGTGCCCTAGAACAAAGATGCCCTGTCATAGTCATGGGTTAGGTCTATGTTGCTGATGGAAGTGCTGCGAGGAGGACGGAATGGCCTCAGAGTTGAGTTAGACCATTCCACTCACCTGGTCCTTGCTCCTCACCCCTGCTGAATGAAGGTGAGCCCCAGTGGCCACCATGCCTATGCAGCGGCCCCCTCAAGACAGTCACAGAGAGCACTGAGGAAACCCAGGCTGGAGTGGGCTCAGCATGAATAGGTACCAGGTCTGAGGGCCTCTTCTCACCTATAACCACAACTACTACACATTGAGTTCCATTTTAGAATTGAAAGCTGATATTCTCAAAACAAACAGAAAAAAATCTGTTTCTAAGAAATGCTAATCCCAGAGGCAAGGACAGAAGAAAGACAACAAACATCATTTTTTTTTTTTTTATCAGAGTCCTACAATCTAGGCAACCAACAATGCTCCATTCAAACTTACCTCAATCTACTAGCAACAATTATTCACAAAAAAAAAAAAAAAAAAAAAAAAAAAAGACTAAAAAAGGGCCGGGGAGATGGCTCAGTAGGATAAGTGCTTGACTGGCAAATGCAAGGATCTGAGTTCAATCCCCGGTTCCACAAAAAAACCCAAAAAACAAAAAACAATTATTTTGCTGAATTTTGTTTCAAATCAAAACAGTGCCAGAGAATCAAAGCATGACTCAAGGAAATGTGAATATAAACAAACCTACGGAACAGGTCCTTCTCTACCAGGAACCTCCCTGGACAGCCCCAAGACTTCCTGAGGGTCACTCACTCTTTGCTCTCCCTGCTGCAGAACAATATTTTCTGGTTTTAGATCCCGATGGATGATTCTGTTTTCATGAAGGTATCTAAGTGCAGACGCTGAAAGAGTGGAAAGGGAGTGAGTTTTTAATTAAGTCTAGGAAACACTTTTCATTTAAGAATCTCCTAGGGCCGGGAGATGGCTCAGTAGAATAAGTGCTTGCCTGGCAAGCGCAAGGGCCTGAGTTCAATTCTTGGTTCCCCCCCACAAAAAAAAAAAAAAAAAAAAAAAAAAAATCTCCTACTGTGTGTTCCTGAAATGCACGGATTGCTGGTAGATTCCTGGTGGTGGCAACAGACCTGGGCAGAAGCTCCTCAAGCAGAATGAAAGGAACGTGGCTAGATGAGCAGAACCTTGATTCCCACTAGATTCTGGCTTCTTCATCATGTGACTTTCCCCACCCCTCCCCCCCCCAAAAAATGCTTTGCCTTTTATCCTTGAGGTCACCATCTACAACTTAGAAACTCAGAACTGAGAAATGCAAAACTCAGAAATGCAAAACTCTCAGGCCTCACCTGAGTTGTATCCTAAGCCCTCCAGGTGATGCTTACACTGATAAAATCTGAGAAGGGACTTCCCTGGACCAGAGAGCCTAACTTATGCAGGTGAGCAAGTTAGAAGAGCGCTTAAGGCAGAGACTACTATGGTCGTGAGATAGACTCAACACAGTCAGTGCTGGCTTTAGGAATAAGTGGGGAAATGGTGCGGAGACCTTTAACCTTTTGGACAGTTCACTGTGTAACGGCGAGCTGAGTTTCCTGGCAGATTCTGCGGGCTTTAAAAGGCGCATGTCCTAAGCTCTAGAAAGCTCAGAATCTAGGAGAGAGAGAGGCAGCCTGTGCCACTCTACAGTGAGGCCACTTGACACTCATAGCTTCGTTCTGTGCCAGATGAACACCCTGGCACACAGGGATTGGGACCCATACTGCTGCAGCTCAGACCCAACAAGACAGCATGGTTATTACATTGGAAGAGGAGTTTAATGGCTTTACCAATCCCAGCCAACTACCACAGAAGAGAGAGAAAACTACTCTTACTGGGAGAGGATGTGACTATATCCCTACAGAATTCAACAGATTAAAAATTGGAGTGTTTACGAAGTTGGCTAAAAACAAAAAAAATATACAAATCAATAGCTTTTCTCTATGTAAGCTTATCTATTTGAAAAGGAAAATCATTCCATTTACATTAATGTCAAAAGCTCCACAACAAAGCAATACATTTAGCAGAAAAAAAGTAGTGTTATGTAATGAAGGAACTACAAGCCATAAAGAATATAGTGCAAATAAGTTTTAAAATTTTATGGTAAAGAGACTATAGACAAAAGTAAAGAAACTGGGGAAAAACACCTGCAACACATATGCCAGATTCAGGATACCTAATAGACAAACAGTACTTAGAAATCAGTAAGAATCTAGTAGAATCTTGATTTGTAATAAGATCTAGTAGAAAAAAAGGTGATTAGGAAGGGCAATTACAGAAGAGGAGATGCAAATGGTGCTCAATTTTGCACAGGATTGTTCAAGCTCACCAGTAGACAGAAAAAGCAAAGGAAAGCAACATGAAATATTTTTTTTTCATCTCTTCAGCCATGAAGAATTTAAAATGAGGAATTAAAGGCACTAATCTACATTGCTGGAAGGAGTAAAAATGAGTCTATATTTTTGGGAAAGTACACTAATGTAGAGACATCTATTAAATTGTAAAACTGTACTAAACATTATTAACATCTTTGGGATGCCAGCTTATAAAATCAAGAATACTGTGACACAAATATAAGGATATTATACCTTCTGCCTAGCATGGAATAACTAACTAGAAATAAACTGAAAGTCAACAAATTATGGCTGATCCACATTATAATACGTAACTCCTTAAAAATAACTTAGGTTTATAGTTTTTGACTCAGAAGGATGGAAATGATGTACTGCCAAGTGAATGGTATGACTTTTTTTTTTGAGGCAAAAATAAAAAGTAAAAACAACACGGACAGGTTAAATAATAAGCCTTCTCTGTATGACCACACACACTCCTCACACACATAAACACACATATACAAATGCCTCACATACATAAACACACTAACACAAACACATAATATACACAGCCCTCATACAAATATAGACACATACCCACACACTTACATATCCCTCACACAAACACAAGCCGACACAAACACACACACACACACACACACACACCCCAGTCACCCATGGATAGAGAAGACTCAAGCATGCTCTATGAAGACGTTCAGGTGAGCATTACTCAAAGTGCCACAGAAAGACAGAGAGCTGCACTTGGAAATGCATGCCATCAACGGGGCTTCTAGATTAGGACATTAAGCTGCGCTATACAAAACTCTGAACTACATCTGCCTTTTTTTTTTTTTTTTTTTTTTTTTTTGTGGAACCAAGGATTGAGCTCAAGCCCTTCTGCTTGCCCGGGAAGTGCTTAGTCCACTGAGCCCCCTCCCCTACCCCTACATCTGCCTTTTTAAACACAGGCTTTGATCATAAAGTTCCAACATCCCTAGTTGTTCCTTCCTTTTTTTTTTTTTTTTTTGGTACCGAGACTCAAACTCATAACCTTGTGCTTGCAAGGCAGGCACTGTACTGCTGAGCTAAATCTCTGACCCATTCCTTATTTTCTTTACTCTACTATGTGACACAATAAACTCTCTCAGGCCCAGTTACTGACTAAACGAAGTCAGAGATGCTGTTTTCCCCAGGCCTGAAGAGCTCCGCTCCATTTTGTTCTCAACTTTATTACTACCTTCTAAAGTCCAATGTTCCTGCAAAACACTTCCATCTTTGTGTTACTAATTTTTATTAAAGAGTCAGAGCCAAATATAATAAAACTCTTAACAAGTGCACCTACACAATACTGCAAACTGGGATGGCAGTACTACTGAATTAAAGCCACTGATCAGCTACTGATCAGGAGCAAGGCCATGTGACAACCTGAAAAGTTTGTCATATCTTTAATCTCAGCATCTAGGAAGCTGAGGCAGAAAGACTGTAAATACAACCCCAGTCCGGGCAACTTAGTAAGGCCCTGTCTCAAACAAAATTAAAAGCAGAGAGGGCATGTTGAGGATATAGCTCAATGCAACAGCCCTAAGTCCGATTCCTAGTGCCACCAAAACAAACAAAAAAACCACAACAGTATGTTCCCTTTTGGATGCACAAAAGACCCATTCTGTGTGGTAGAGAACAAGTGGCTAGAGCATCAGGGTATAAAATGGTGCCTTGGCTCACAAACATTTTTGCTTGCAAATCTTTTGGTTTACAAACAGAAGATTTAGGCAAAAGTCTGTTTTTGTTTGCAAATTCTGCATCAGATGACAAACATGCCCACAACCATCTTTCCGATGCAAACATAAACATGGCCAGCTTTTCTAAAATTGTACAACAAATTGAGTTTGTGTACCAAGGCATTACTGTACATGAAATGTGAGTTGGTTTGTTCTAAAGCAGACTATATGAAAATTGAGACTCACTACAATTTTAGCAAGTTCCTAGGCTGAGACTAAGACATGAGGACCCAGAAGCCAGAAGTATGTCATCTTAGGGGTACTCCAAGAGGCAGGCGCATGTGGGGCATCTACCCAGCCCCTACTGTGGAGGAAGAGTACAATATCTGCAGCTCAGTGATGAGGAGCTGCCTTAGACCTTCACAGGGAAGGATACAGCGGGTACCCTAAACCTTGATGGCCATCAACAGCCATCTTTCCTGAGGCTTAAGCAACTATACACAAATACACTCATTTTGAGGGGGTTATTTATTCTCCATATTCCTGTGGGCTTAATAAAGTTTGAGATTAAAGAGTCTGAGGGTCACAGTTATACATGGGTTCCTGGCTGATGTCCCAGAGCTTGGCAGTAGGCCTTCTCCTGGAAAGGCCTCCTGAGGGAATGCTCACATACAGGGCTTTGGTCTGACCGCAGTACAGTTTACAAAGAGTGTTCAAGGAGCAGTGTCAGGAGGTGAGTGGAAACTATCTGAAAGAAACTAATTTACTTTAAACTGATGGAAAATGTGATATTGAGATTAACAAAAATAGTGTTCTGTAGGGAAGTTTATGAAAAACATATAAGCCCTAATAAGGCTGGGTGTGTACTTCTGTAATCCCAGAACTCTGGGAGGTCAGGCAAGATGCATGAGAGTTTCAGCTCAGTCTGGATAACTTATCAATTTATCAAGGATCTGTTCCAAAATAAAAATTAAGAAATACAAGGGCTGGGCATGTAGTTCAGTGTGTGGGCCCTGAGTTTAATCACTAGGACTGTAAAACATAAAAACTAAACAAACTCCCAGGAAAAATGATAGTATATACTTATAAAAGTTTAAAACCACACTATCTGATTCTTTTCTTTTCTTTTTTTTTTTTTTTCAGAACTGGGGATTGAACTCAGGCCCTTGTGCTTGCCAGGGAAGCACTTATTCCACTGAGCCATCTCCCCGGCCCCAAAACCACACTATCTGAATACATGGTTAATGTCTCATGTTCCAACTACACCATGTGGGCTGGGCTTGTAGCTCAGTGGTGCACACTTGCCTCGTAGGTTCCAGCACTGCCCCCCTCCCATGCTAATTTGATGACATTGTGGCATCTCTTAGGACAGACACTGTACAGAGTGGCCAGGTGAAAAATTCACCCCAGGAAGGAACATCCTTGCTGCTGTCATCCTTGTCAGGAACAAACCCCAGGGAGCTACCCCAGCTCTCCCTGTTCACTGGTAAGGCAGATTCAACACCTAAGTGAAGAATGAGAACATCTTGTGGTTGTTACTGGTGAACCAGAACTCCCAATCACAGCCCACTTATTTTCTCAGATGACAGAGCCCAAGTTGGGGACAGATAGAGCACCTGAACCTCCTGCAAGGAAGCTGTGTTCATGAGACCCTACCCTCCATGTAACAGATTCCAAAGCATTGCTAAGCCCCCTTCAGAACACTTGTTTGAGATACAAGCAACTGACAAGAATTGGAAAAAGAGATGGATGGAAAACACCAGACATCAAAAGAAAGGTAGTCACCAACTGCAAGTCCAGATCACC